TTTCTAACTTGGGTTTTAAAATGGACAGTGATTTTAAATTAGATTCCCAGATTGGAGCAGTGGTCAAGACCAGTTTTTATCACCTCAGACAGCTGGCTAAGGTAAAATCCATTCTCACAAAACAGCAGCTGGAAACAGTAATCCATGCCTTCGTCACCTCTTGTCTGGATTACTGTAATGCTCTTTACCTTGGAGTCAGCCAGTCCTCCCTCAGAAGCCTCCAGTTGGTCCAGAATGCTGCTGCTCGGCTTCTAACTGGAGTTCAAAAGAGGGAGCACAGAGGGAGCATCTGGCTTCACTCCACTGGCTGCCTGTTCATTTTAGAGTTCATTTTAAGATTCTTTTATTTGTTTTTAAAAGTTTAAATGGTCTTGCTCCATCCTACCTCTCTGAGTTGCTTCATCCATACTCTCCTGCTCGGTGCCTCAGATCAGATGATCAGCTGCTCCTGGAGGTGCCGAGGTCTAAATGTAGGCTCAGAGGGGACAAAGCTTTTTTCTGTTGCTGCTCCAAGACTGTGGAACGATCTCCCTCTTCCCATCAGACAAGCCCCTTCACTGTCCAGTTTTAAAACACTTTTAAAAACACATTTTTACTCCCCAGCTTTTAGCACAGACTGAATTTTGCTCTGCACAGTTTTTATTATTTTTTTTTATTAATCTTAATGTTTTAACAACTGTTTTATGTGTTTAAATGTTCTTGATTTTATATATACAGCACTTTGTGGCAGCTGTGGTTGTTTTAAAGGGCTTTATAAATAAAGTATTATTATTATTATTGAGACGGAAAAGCAGCACTTTACCAACACTATGCTTAGTGAAGGTTGGGTGCTGTTGACCTCAACCAGTGATGTCATCGGGAGGTGGAAGGAATATTTCTCTGACCTTCTCACTCACACCGGAATGTCTTCCATGGAGGAAGTTGAGTCTGGAGACCTACAGGCTGGTATTTCCATATCTGGTGCTGATGTCGCTGGTAGTTAAAAATTTCCATGGTGGCAGTACTCCAGGGATGGATGAAATCCACCTTGAGTTCTTTGAGGCTCTGGATGTTGCAGAGCTGTCTTGGTTGACACACCTTTGTAACATTGCATGGGCATTGATGGCAGTGCCACTGGATTTGCAGAATGGGGTGATAGTTCCCATCTTCGAAACGGGGGACCAGAAAGTGTATTCCAATTATAGGAGCATTGCTCTCCTTAGCCTCCCAGGTAAGTTCTTTTCAGGGGTACTGGAGAAGCAAGTACATTTGATCAGAGTCAGAGTGATTTATTTGTCATACACACCACATATGGTACATGTGGTGGAACAAGATTATGTACACATGGTCCCAGTTACACCCCACAATAAAATAAGTTCTAAAACATGAACTAAGAAAAACATTGACTAAATATACTCTAAGCACTAATAGCATAAAAACAATAAAAACAATAGGCCCAACAGCAGCATGAACATGAATCTGTGTGATCAGTTGAGCACGAATGAACACAGAAACTTGAAACAGATCAGCAGCAACATGGTGCAATTTTTCACAGTGATTATCCTGATTAGATATTCATGAGTCTAACAGCTTCAGGATATAAGCTGTTCCTCAGTCTAGGGGTTCTATACTTAATACTTCTTAACCTCCTTCCTGAGGGGAGTGGGGCAAAAAGTGTATGTGCTGGGTGAGTGGGGTCCTTTATCATGCAGGTGGATCTCTTCCTGCATTTAGAAGTGTAAATGTTTATGATGGTGGGGAGGCTGACCCCAACAGACTTCTGTGCAGCCTTCACCACTCTCTGCAAAGCTTTTCTTTCTGCAGCTGTGCAGCCTCCATGCCACACGTTGATGCTGGAGCAGAGGATGGTCTCCACTGCACACCTGTAGAAGGAGGTGAGGACTGAGCTTCCCAGACCAGCTTGTCCCAGCCTTCTGAGGAAGTAGTCTCTGATGAGCTTTCTAGATCAGGCTGGTAGTGTTATTGCCCCAGCTGAGGTTGTCACTCAGATGTACACCCAAGTACTTGTAGCTGGAGACCACTTTTACCGCAGATCCTCCTATATTTAGTGTGTGTGTGTGTGTGTGTGTGTGTGGGGGGGGGGGGGGGGGGGGGGCGTTAGGTGTGTTTGTTCCTTCTGAAGTCCATGATCATCTCCTTTGTCTTCTTCACATTGATGTGAAGGTTATTCTCCTTGCACCAGTTTTCCAGGTGTTCCACCTCTTGCCTGTAGCTGGAATCGTTGTTTGTGATGAATCCCACCACCGCTGTATCATCTGCAAACTTTATGACAGCCTGGATGGGTAGGTGCATGATCATATGTGAGCAGAGTGGACAGAAGGGGGCTCAGCACACATCCCTGAGGGGAGCCAGTGCTGAGGGTTGTAGTGGAGGAGGAGAACTTGTGGGTACCTCACTGACTGTGGTCTGTTTGTTAAGAAGCCTAGGACCCAGTTGCAAATGGAGAGGCTTAGTCCTAGTCTGAGTAGTTTGTATTTGGGGAATCATGGTGTTGAAAGCAGATGTGAAGTCCACAAAGACTGTACGGACATAGCAGTCCTTCTGCTCCAGGTGGGTGAGAGCAGTGTGGACCACTGGCAGAGATGGCATCCTCTGTTGATCGGTTCTTGCAGTATGCATACTGGTGAGGGTCCTCATTGATGTTGATGGTTGTTTTGATGTGGGTCATGACAAGTTTTTCAAAGCATTTAGTGACTATCGGGGTGAGGGCCACTGGCCAATATTCATTCAGACCAGTCACTGTATAGTTCTTTGGGACTGGGATGATGGTGACAGTCTTCAGGCAGGTGGTAACTGTTGCTAGGGTGAGTGAGGAGTTAAAGGTGTCGGCCAGCACCTCACAGAGCTGATCGGCACATTCTTTCAACATCTTCCCACCGATGTTGTCTGGGCTGTTTGCTTTGTGAGGGTTAATCCTCCTGAATGTACTCCTTACTTCTGCTGAGGTCATGCTGAGAAGCTCTTTATCTGGTGGTGAGGTGAGTCTGATGCTGGGTGGTCTGTTCAGGTCTTCAAAGAATGCATAGAACTTGTTGAGGGCATCAGGCAGTGATGGGTCTCTAGGACATTGTTCACTCCTGCCTTTATAATCTGTTATACACTTAATGCCCCTCCATATGCTCTGTGGGTCTTGTGAGGTGAATTGACCCTTGATCCTCTGTGCATATGTGGCCTTGGCCCTACTAATACCAGCAACCAGCTTTTTCAGCTCCTTTGAGCTTCCAGACTTGAAGGCAATGTTCCTGGCTTCCAGCAGGGTGCGAACATCTACATTCAGCCTATGGTCCAGCATCAATGTGTGGCATGGAGGCTGCACAGCTGCAGAAAGACAAGTTTTGTAGAGAGTGGTGAAGGCTGCACAGAAGTCTGTCGGAGTCAGCCTCCTCACCATCACAGACATCTACACCTCCAGATGCAGGAAGAGGGCCACCTGCATCATGAAGGACCCTACTCACCCAGCACACACACTTTTTGCCCTGCTCCCTTCAGGCAGGAGGTTGAGAAGCATTAAGTGTAGAACCACTAGAATAAGGAACAGCTTCTACCCTGAGGCTGATAGACTCACGAATCCCTAACCGGGATAATCACTGTGAAAAAAATCACATCATGCTGCTGATCTGTTTCATGCTGTTTTGTTCATTCGTGCTCATCTGCTCACACAAACTCATGTTTGTGCTGCTGTTCAGCGTATTGATTTTATACTATTAGTGCTTAGCGTATTTTTAGTTAATGTTTTTCTTAGTTCATATCTTAGATCTTACTACTGTTTTTATTTTACATTTTATACTTTTGTTGGATGTAACTGGGACCCTGTGTACACAATTTCATTCCACCACATTTATCACATGTGGTGTGTATGGCAAATAAAGAAACTCTGACTCTGACTCTGAAAGAGATGTCTGGACCTCCCTGCTTAAGCTGCAGGTCCCGCGACTCGACTCAGAACATAATGCATGCATGCATGGATGGAAGGATGTATACTTGTTTCTCATCCACATATTTTCTGAGAATTTAATTTAAATTTGTTCAGTGGTTTATAACATATATTGCTAACAGACTAATAGGGTTGACTCCAACACTTTATACCAAAGTTGACGCAAACATCTAGCATTTATAGTACTCAAAGTAAATACTGGTGATGACTCTCAGCTACGACCACATAACATTTTTGCCAAATATCTTAAAAACTGACATAGGTATAGAATTTTTTGTTTGGGTAAGGCGAATTGTCTAATGCAGCCATATTGAATTATTGTGACTCCAAAGGGAAATCAGTTGAAGATGTATACCGGTAATCAGTGATTACAGTACTTCTGAAAGCGTAACATTTTTCAAGTGATTCATGGGATATTTTGCTGAACAGAAAGATGAGTGAACACACACTAGTGGCAAGTAGATTAATTACGTAAGTTCTTTACACTAGTATTTTGACTGAGCAATTGAGTCAAATAATCTACTTTGACACCAAGAGGGCATGAATCCTTAACATACTTGTCAGAATTACAGTAATGAGAAGAGCTATTAAGGCACCACAGGACCCAGCTGCCTTGTTCAACCTTTTATACACTCCTTGGTTTCTTATATAAGTGTTTTGTATTTGTATTTTTACCTGGAATTTCATTTTTCTCTATCTCTTTTTTTATTTCTGTCTAAAGCTCTAGAGATTTATTAATGGTAGGGTAAGACCAGTGATGACAGTTTCTTTCATGTCCCCAGGGAGAAATACAATATACCTGCTGCGCCTCTCTCTCATCTCCCCACAGCTCTTCCTCTCTGTACTGCATATTAGTGTTAGGGTTCGATGTCGGCACTGTCAACTCTTTGTATTCATGTGCTTTATAGCCATCTTTTTTGTATCTCTCCTTTGGTGTTTTTCTTGACTTTACAGTAGCTATCTGTGCACAGATGACATATTTTTATACAGTTTGTTGTATTCTCTTATGGCCTTGCACCACATTTTGTCTCTTTTTAAATGAAGGCCTTCTGCCCTCCACTGCCAGGTCACGGTTTCTGTTCATGTGGACGCTGCATCTGTGGAGAGGGATGGTTTGGAAAACAATGCCAATTCCTGAGGTCTTGTGACATGAGTGACACCCAGAGCAAGGAGCTTTGCGAGACAGCAGATGGAGTCCTTTGCAGTGGAAAAGGTAAACAATTTATATACAGTGTATATTTTTATCTTTCAGTGCTGCTGCTGCACCAAAAGATTGGCCTGCAAATTGGTATAAGTCAATACTCATCTTAATAGGTTCAAATTGGTAACGAGCTTGATAAATCCTATAAATCCAGATTTTTATTTTTTGTTTGTTTTTAAACAATCAGTACAGAAAAATCTAACAACCTTTGGTCCATCAACAGCTCAGCACACAGAAGCTACAGCAAATTATTATGAGTCTTATGGAAGTTTTTCACCATAGGTAAAGAAAACTTAGTTGTCCTGATGCATTCTTAATAATCCAAGTACAGGTAGATAAATCTAAAACTAACAGGGTTGAGTCTGGTTCTCTGGATGTGTTCTTCTTCATTGTTGTCAACTGACTCAACCTTAAATCTTAAACATTTACTCCAAGTAATCATTTTGGCCAGGATTACCTCAAACTAGTTTTGAGAGTTTGAACAGTAAGTAAGTAAGTAAGAAGAAGGACTACAGGAACCACCTGAGTTTCAACCTGAGATTTGATCTTTGATATTGACAGTGTGGTACCTTTCCAGATAAACAAAGAAGAATCCATCCAAAGAATCTGACTTAACCTTGTTAGAAAATTTATTGCAGCTCTAATTGTCAAAAAAAAAAAACCCAAGATCTATATTTTGTTGTTGTATTTTTTAGGAATAAAATTATGATTATCTTACCATGCAACACATGTTGATTCCCAATCAGACTGAAAAAAAGAACGGTGCCTGTGGGCCAGAATATTTGTTTTGAATGATTCTTAACAACTACTACATCAAATTTTAGCTCAATATTAGCAACACTGATTGAATTATGACCATTTTGTGTTTTCTAAGGTTAATTGACTGTAATGGCCATCTTAAACTGGGTTGACTTCAGAAGTTAAACAGTTGTAAATGTACATCCAAAGATTACTTTCAGAAAGGTTTATTAAAATCTGTTCAGTGGTTCATTAATATTTTGCTCAGTGGGGAGTAGGGGTTGAACGACTTCATAATTTTTAAAGTCAACATTAACATAATAAAAGTCGAGTAGAAGTCGAGGAGTTGATGATGTCATAGGATCTCAAGATGCAACAACAACAAAAAAAGTAAAAAAAGTCATTTATTATAAAAAAAAATAAAAAAAAGACCAACAAAACATTGATAGCGTATATTATGCTCCTGCTATTTATCATACTGCAAATAAGTCACAAGAAAAACAAAACTATTAGTTATTATTATTAAGCTGCAAAAGTGAAAGAAATGTGCGGCACGTAAAAACCGAAACTAAAAACAGTGGGGCGGACAACCACCCCGCACTACCATCCGCGGTGGTGCGCGTTACATTTAGTTTTAGAGATTAATATGTTTATAGTTTTTTTATAGGTTTAGAGATTAATATGTTTTGTTTTTTGTTTGTGAAACAAGGTCAGAAGGAAGCTGGTTCTGGTTTGGTCGATTGGACCCAGTGTTACACCATATTCTGTGACCTGCAACAGTGCATGCAACACTGCCGCCTACGGTCACAATATACGGTGGTCACAGAATATGGTGGAACACGGGTTCCCAACGAGCTTCAAACAGTCAGGAAGTTGATTAATTTTCTGTTTCCTTACGGTAGTTGAACCAGAAGATTCATCTTTATTGAAATATTTCCATACTATTGATGCATTTCTACCTGTTTGCCAAGACTGGGCCTGCTACGCGCCATCCGTCTGCTTGGAGGAATCCATTTGTAGCTTCTTCTGGCCCGCGCCTAGTGCGGATCACATAACACGTGACGCAATGACATAACTAGGACGTAATGACGTAACTGCGAATACTCGACAGGAAATTTAAAAACTCGCGAACTGTCCTACAATCGATGTCAGTGACTCAAGTAGTCTGTTAAAGCCCTAGTGGGGAGCCCTCAGGACATTCTACACCTTCAGAGAAGGCTGAAGAATTCCTCCATCAATTCATCAATGTATCCATTATCTTTACTTGCTTTTTCCGTTATGGGCTGCAGAGGTCACTGATGCCCAGGTCCAGTAGTCACTGTGCAACAGGCGGGGTACAAGTCCGTCACAGAGCCAGAGACAAACAACTATTCACTCTCTCACTCACACCAAGGGACAATTTAGAGTTACCAATCTGCCTAACATGCATATTTTTGGTCTGTGGGAGGAAACCGGAGTACCTGGAGAAAACCCATGCAGGCATGAAGAGCCAGACAAACTCCACCCTTCTCGCTGAAAGGCGACAACTCTACCAACTGTGCCAATGTGAATTCAGAACATATGAATTGTTATATTTATTATGTTTTTATATTTCTTTTTAATCTTTCTTTTAACTTCTGGAAATTACTTTGCAGTTGAGCAAGAAATACTTTAATTCAAGAAAATAAAGTTAACTGCTCTGTTTAAAAAAAAAAAAAATTACCGTCTCCGGGCAAAAACATGCTTGAAGGTGCTCTATCTGTCACGCTCAGTGGCCCCCGCTGCCCCCTCCCCACCCCCCCACCTGTTCAAGCCTCTGCTCCTCACACCACAGCCCCTGTTTTAAGATCATTCAAGTTTTTTCTTGCTTTAGTTTTGAGTTCCCCTCTCATTCATTCAGCTCCTGTCACCCTGCATCACGCCCCCTCCACAATCTACCACAATCTACGTTCACGAACAACACCTGTTCAGTCCACTATTTAAGCTCCCTGTTTCCCCTCAGTGGGTGCCAGATAATTATAGGTTCTTCCCGTAGATATCCAGCGTTCCCTCTTCGTATCACAGTTTTCGACCATAGCTTTGCCCACGACTTCTTGTTCTCGCCTTTGCCCCCGGATTGGATTCCTCGTCTATATCTGACCATATTGACAACTGCTTTTCCTCCTTGACCACGATTTTTGGATTCCCCTTTTGGTTCTTCTGCCTGGCTGCATTCATCTCTGGTTTTGACCCTTGCCTGCCCCTGGATAAAGTTCTGCTGCCTAAACCCCTCAGCGTCACAGCTCGCCCATCCAGCCTCCCTACCTGTTCGTGCTCATGCTGCGCGCTGCTGCTCTGTGGCCCTTGCGCATGTTACCAGCTCCCGAGATTCGGACCGGTACCAGGACCCACCTGGCCCACATCTCAGACTTGTTCCAGAGACAGAAGGTTAGTGGCTTTATTCTTTTTTACTCTGTTCAGTCTAGTCTGCTTACAGCCACTAATCTGTCTCCCCAGAGCGGTCCGGTACCAGTACCAGAACCTCCTGCCAGATGCCGCCGGTTTAAAAATAAACATTTTAAAACTTTTTTCTGAGTCTGTGCTTGTCCGATCCACCCCAATTCATGACACTATCATTAGTTAAGATTTCACTGTGAGGAGATAAGACAGAGCTCAGTCTGTCTTTGCAGAATGAGTTTGTTAAGTGCTAATACAATAATTTGCTATGTTGAAGTAGAGTCAGTGCAAATACACTACTGGTGCTTTGCCAGTCTGAACTCTCTTCCAGTCCGTATGACACGGCACTAGTTAAGGGCCTCCCCACTGTTGGTACCCACACCCACTCAACTCAGTTTATGGGACCATCTTGTTTGTAGTTCCAAGCAGGCTACTCAAAGGGGCTGATGTTTACATGAGCAGACAGCAGCAGGTGATTAGCCAGCAGAGCTAAGTCACTGGATGACCTACCCAGCAAAAATGCAAACTTCATCTCAGTTGCCACTTCTTCATTGTGTTGATGGATGGTGCCACAAGAAATTTTCACATTTACCAAGAGATAGCAGAGATGATGGCGCAGCATGGCTACACCTGGACTTATAAGCAGTGCCGGGATAAGCTAACCAAATTCAAGTCCGAGGGGGATTAAGGATAACAACGGGTGGAGTGGCTCGAACACCAAAAGACCCGTTACAATACCGCCCACTTTGCATTGACGATCCCACCCACAGAGTGAGGAAACAGGTCATCCTCCACCTTTATGGGAAATTACCTACACTTGAGAAGAACTTGGAGGGGAAGCAGAGTGCAGCCACACTTAAGAATGGCAAAGCAGCATACTGTATCACTACGACACTGTGCGCTGAGCCTTCAGACATCCCCTACAGTTTTTTGTTTGATTGCTTTTGACATGAAGATTTGTAATTGAAACCTGTAAATTAAAAAATTCACACTGACGTTCTAGTCGCTTAAAAAAAAAAAAAAAGAAAGATCAAAAATCCCATTTATATTTATGTTGATAATTTTCAATAATATGGCTGTATTTTACTTTCATAACATAATAAAACTTTACAGAAACAGTAAATTATGTGGGCTACTCTTAAATTTCAGTGTAAATTATTGAAATGACATGTTTTACTTTTAACACAAAAAATGCGTGAACAGCAGGGCATATTGAGTAGTCTTGGGATATAAATAAGTGGAATTTTTTAGGTTATATGTTTAGATGGGTTGGCCCTGTTGGTTTTTCTGTCTAGTGTTGGCTTGGCATTTATGTTCAAGTTGTTGTAAGTGACTGTAAAAAAATGACACCACACCTCATATGTTTTACCTGATGTATAAATAGGGGGAAGCACTTCCTTTTCAGCAAGTTTCTGAATTTGAAAGAAAGTAAAGTGATGCAGTTGCAACTTGACTGTATTTTTTTTTCAGAACACACGCATACACACAAAATATAAAAATATAAACCATACAACAACACTGAAACAACTGCACATAGAAGTTCTAAAATAATTATAAATAACTTTTAACACTTTTAGATTTTGTGATTATGATGATTTTATAATGTGGCATACTTTGAATTTTAAGTTGGAGTACAAAAGTCAATTGGTTCATATGAACAAAAAAGGGTTAACCCTTCACAAAGCCGATGCAGGAGAAATGTGTGTGCGGCAGAGAGGGAAATCAGCTGCTCATCGCAGGAGGGAGCTTCCCCTGCACTAGTGGGCTGCACACATGGTGCAAAATCATTTAAAATAATTTATTTTAAATGAACAACCCATGGCTCATCCATCATTCAGCCAATTGTGTCATGTCCAATC